ATGTATAATAGAATATATAATTGTTTAGGAAACCATATAATATAATTTTAAAATTGTGTATTTTCAAAAAATTGTTATTCATATTTATCTTTCTTTCTATTTTTTTTTGGCCATTGTATTATCTTTTCTATTAATATGTATAATAGAATATATAATTGTTTAGGAAACCATATAGTATAATTTTGAAATTGTGTATTTTCAAAAAATTGTTATTCATATTTATATTTCTTTCCTATTTTTTTTTTTTTTTTGCCATTGTATTTTTCTTTCTTATTATTATGTATAATAGAATATATAATTGTTAAACCATGTAATATAATTTTATATGGAGCATATACTATCTATTTGGAATTACCCATCAGTATAATTTTCCCTAAATTCTATCTATTTTTTTTTTTAATTTTGTTCCTGTATGTTGAAAATCTAGGTCAAATTTTTTGTTTATCTGTTGTAATCATCATCATCAACATCAAATTTTTTTTTTTTTTTCTAGATTTGTCTCATACATACACATAACAACGACAACAACCCTAAATCATCTCTAACAAGCTTACTATTCAGTCTCTGTCAATCTACATATCAAGTTTATGTGTTCAATTTTTGAATAAAAAAAAAAAAAAAAAATCACAGATCACTTTGAACTCATGTGTTCCATGACAAGAGACTCTAAGGCTGAGAGAGAGAAAGAGAGAGAGAGAGAGAGTAGATCGATGCTTTCACTAAGAGATTTATGAAATTGTGCTCCTAGATCTAAAAGTCATGGTGATCTATGATCCATCTTCCTTAAGAGACGATCATTAACACACAATCATCTGTTTGTGTGTATGTGACGGTTCAGCCCTCATCTCTCTCTCTCTCTCTCTCATGTCTCTTCTTTTTATCTCTAAGATTTAAACACTAGCCACAGATCAGTGAGACGAGTAGTGAGATCTCACAGATCGGAGAGTTGTTCTCTAGATCTGGCTTTTGGCGTAGCAAATCAAGCCTGCGAACACTATGTTTAGATTGAGTGATTTGGAGAGAAAAGAAAAAAATGTATAGATATGTATTTCTTTTACTTATTTAGATAACTTAAGTGGAGAGAAATTGGGAGAAATGGATAGAAACCCATTTATCTTATAACCCTCATTTTCAATCTTCCAAAAAGTGGAGAAATTGGGGAAAAAAGAAACCAACAGATTCTTATATTTTCATAATTTCAATTTTGTCCCTGTAAAAATAAAAGAAATAAAATGATTGACACCCATGTCCTCAAAATATGAAACGGTTATTTTGGTAATATAACATAAAATAGTTTCTTTTTTTTTCTCTTATGAAATCTAACTAAACAAGAATGATATACATCACTATCATTTCTTTTCTTTTATTTCTTACTTATCTAAACAAGAACGAGAGAAATCACAATCATTTCTTTTATTTTATTTTCTTTTATAACATAAGTAATTATTTCTTTTCTTTTCTCTCATAAGTTTCCAAACATAGTGGAAAGATTGTACGGAGGCGACCTCTTCTTCTGGTTCACTATCACCTCCACTACTGCACCTCCGTTGACTTCACCATCGTTGAGGTAGTGGACCTTCTTGGCGCAGGTGAGCCTTCGTTGCTGCGAATAGAAACTGAGGCGGCAAAAATGAAAGAAAAGACGTCTTCGATAACCAGGTGAAGAGAAGAGGAGAAGAGAGAGATGGCGATGATGGAGATGGTAGTAGTGACGGTAGTGGTGGTTATGCAGTCTTTGAGGCAACGATGTCGACATCATTGTGTGAGGCGAAGAAAAGCGAGAGAGAGAGAGAGAGAGAGAGAGAGGGTGCAAGTGTTGTTTGGCTTTGATGGTGTATATGGTATATATAAGGAAGGGTATTTTGGTCATTTTATCTAGGCTTGTCCTTATGACAAAGAAAATCAACGTCTGGAACTGTTACAAAGAAAATCTAATTAGATTTTTTAGCCCAAACGCCCATAAAAAAAGGACAAATTACCTACACCTCCGTTGAGGTTTAGCTAAATTATAGATTCCCCCTGAGGTTTCAGAAATTACATCCTGCCCCCTGAGGTTTATATTCACATAACAATTTAACCCCTACCGTTAACTAAATGTTAAGAATGGTTAGTTGACATCACCAAAATATAAATTGATGGACGATATTGCCCCTGTTGAAATCCCTTTGATAAATCAACAAAATTTACAAAATGATTATGTTAGATGGAAAAAAAAATTAAGTTTTTAGAACCATATTTGATTTGTTATTTAGGAATTTTTTTCAGAATTTTTTTAAAAAATAAAAACTAATTTAATAAAAATAAATATGAAAAAATATATTTAATTTGTAAAAATTATTTCTAACCACTAAAAAGATAAAATAATATAAAAATAATAATAATTTTTTATTTTTTATATCTTAACCAAATTAATTTTTAACTTTTAATTTTTTGAAAAAAAATTTAAAAATAAATTTCTAAAAATCAAACCAAACATATTCTAAGAATTTTTTGACAAGCCATTTCTTGTGTTTTTAACTTATTTAATTATTTGTTAATTTTATAATATTTTCACCATCCGACACTACAACATATAAGAGTTTTATAGACCAATTTTTTTGATCTCTAAAAGTGAAAATTTTGTTGCAAAAAATATTTAGGCATTGTTTGGGAACTTGGTTTGGGGCTAAAATAGCCACAAAAAACAAAATAGGCTATTTTAGCCACAAAAAACAAAACATCAAATCCAACCCATAATCATTACAATCCTCTCTCACAAAAAAAATCAAAAAAGTCAAAAAGCCAAAAAGTCCTTCCCAAACCAGGCTAAAATAGCCCAGGCTAAAATAGCCAAAAAGCCAAAAAGCCAAAAAGCCAACCCACTTCCCAAACGGAGGCTTAGAGACTAATTTCTATCGTCGTGAGGATAGTCGTTAAAAGGTCGCATTGAAAAGTAAAAAATATGGCTTTTAGCGATAAAATTTCGAAAGCGTCAATAATAAATTTTAGGGACAAAATAATTTGGTTTCAAAATAGTTTATTTTTTGAGACAAAAAATTTGATACTAAAAAGATAATAATTAATCAGTAAAGTTCAATTTTCATTGCTAAAAATAAAATAATGATACTTTTCCTAACAAAAATATTTGGCCTCCTAAAAATAATTTTGTCCCTAAATTTTGGTCTCTAAAACCTTAATTTTTTGAAGTGTGATAAGTGTTTTTCCATTTTAATTTTGCATTTCATAACTTATTTAAAAATGATAATTTAGTTAAACCTCAGGGAGGAATCTGTAATTTAGCTAAATCTCGAGGAAGTGTAGGTAATTTGCCCTTATTTGTCAAAAGGGCATTTTAGTCTATTTATGATATCCGTTAACAGAGTGAATTGCGTTGGGCGGGATATAATTTTTGAAACCTCAGGGAGGAATATGTAATTTAGTTAAACCTTGAGGGAGATGTAGGTAATTTTCCCTTAAAAAAAATGTAGAACACGACATATTGGGAACACGTGCAAAATATATAATTTTATATATTTATTATGTCATTTTTAAATATTTTAGATTTATTGCGTCAAATATTTAATTTCATTAAATTTATCAATCTTAGTATTCTATTTTAGTATTCTATTTTGTGTCATTTTTCAGCCTGTTCTCAGCGTGTTTTCAACGTCTCAGTGTGCCCTTAGTGCCTTAGCGTGTCTGACTCTTTATGGTTTGTTCGACATGTGTTCAAAGCGTGTCTGACATATGTTCGTGTCTGATAAGTGTCAGACACCTGTTCGTGACCTCCAGAGAGGTCTGTGCTTTATAGGTTGAAACCCAAGTTAAATTCAAGTAAAGACATCAATTGATGAGATGCTTAAATGAATATCTAACAATTTCATCTAGACTTAGGGTAAACAAGGTTATACCAATCATAAGGAATGAACCCTGGTCAACCAGGACAGTCACTGGTGAAAACTGGGCTGTCAACTAAATTGCTCAACCAGCACTTGAGCTATCAACCAAAATCAAGGATGAACCAAGAGATTTGAAAGATTCTAATCTTGGACAAACTTTTAAATCTCTAATTGTCCTATATAGGAGCAAACTTTCAGTTAATAATATACCAAGAAGCACGAATACTTTTAAAAATGAGTCATATACGTATCATATTTATATTGGATATTGATATTCCTTGGCTACTCGTAGATACATATCAGATACTTTCTAAACGTATCCGATATTCGATGTTAATTTTGAGAAGTATTAGATACTTTTCGGATCCTCTAATTCACATATCTAAACTACTATGAAATTGAGATTGCAATAATTTTTTGCATAGTATTAGAGTATAATTGTTAGAACAAATACAAGAATAGTTTTTCAATATTTTTTTATTTCTTACCCTCCCAAACACACATTAATGTGTACTAAGTGGGCGTTGTTGTTGTTGTTGTCGTCGTCGTCGTCGTCTTACCCAAGAAAAAAATAATGAGATTAAAGTAGTACCGTACTTTTTTGGATTTTATCAAATTAATGTATCCACTCAAAAGAAAGTAAATAAACTATTGGCTCTTAAATTAGTTTCTAATTACCAAAGAATGGTTTTTACTATTCTTTGAGCTCATGTATAGTTCAATAGTAAAAATTATAATTTTTTTTTCAATGGATCCTGGCCATACCTGTATTATATTTTTTTGGTTTTTTTTCGTATCACCGTATCCATATTGTATTGTATCTATATCCCTTGTCTGTGTCCGTGTCCGTATCCGTATCTGTGTCCATGTTCATGTCTATATATAATATTCCCAACTTTTCATCTAGAGCCAAACACACTCCTATGTTAAACTCCATTTAGGATATCTAAACCCAACTCCAAACTTGATGGTAGGTGTAACCAAACACCCCATTTCAACACAAAAAAAAAAATTAGAAGTGCAGATTTTTTTTCTTCATTCTTCATTCTCTAACTTCTCTCTACTTTCTCTCTCATTTTCCTTTACTTTCTTGGAGGCCAAACACCACACCTTTGCTCCACCCTTACACCACCACCTTAACCCACCATCTCCAACACCTCCGGCCACCTTATCTCGCCGGAAAATGGGTCCGGTCGGCACTCCTTGAATCCATCCGAAAATAACACAATAGAAGCACAAACTCTAGATTTTTCTTAATCTTTTGAAGAATCAAAGCATGGGATTTATTTTCTTGATGGATTAGAGGCTTGTACTTGGTAAGAATCTTTCTCTAAAAGTTTAGTTGAAGGTTTTACATATTTTGAGTTAGAGATGATGAAATTTTTGTGTTTTAGATCTATTATGATTTGGGGTTTGCTTGTTGAATTTTATACTCTCAATTAGTTTCCATGAATGTTTTACATGTTTAAAAAAAAAAATGGTCAATTTGATGGTTGATTTGGAGATTTAGATTTTTGGGTTAATCTAGGGTTTGAATGTGATGTAAAAAATTGGGGATTTTGGTGTTAGGGAATTTATATGTTGAAATTGAGTTGATAAATGATGGATTGGGTATCTCTATGTTCTATGGAGGAATTTTATAAGTGATTGAAGAGATTTTACTTAAGTTGTTGAGTTTATACAAAAATGTTGATTTTTGACTTTTGTAGTAAATTGATGGTGGTATTGTGCATATAAATTGATTGGATATTTAAAAAGTTACTAACTCAAAGATGTTCAAAGGATGGGTGTTATGGAGATTGGATAAGTTATTTGTTTGGGTGATTTAAAGTTGGAGGAGTTCTTTAGCTTGCCATTCCTTAGCATAATTTTATTTAGGATCATTTTTGTAGATGTTGTAATTTTCATTGAAAGCTTTTCCTAATTTGAGATCCTATTTACTAATTGTTAGGATTGGAGGAAGGCATCTCTCCACCTCTTGGAAATTAATTTGTAGAGTTTCAAATCTACACTTTTGCTATTTTTGGAGGTGAGTATACTTACCATGGAAATTACCTTACCTCTATCTTTATTACAAAGTTTGAAAATAATTTTTGAATTAAAGGAAGTGAATGATACATTTCATCATGATATATGTATAAAAAGAAAATCTATAAATTTATTGAGGCCAAGGGTTGAGTTTTAATAAAGATACGATTTCATTTGTATAATGAAGCATTAATTTTTTTATGAGAATTTATTTAAGTTGAGTCTTTCAAATTTTATGATGATGATGATTGAATGACAGTGAAATGTTATGTGAGGGTATTTATTTTATTGATCATATAACCGAATATAGCCTTTGGGGCCACAAGGGCCAAAATGCTTTGGGGTCCTGGGGACCGAAATGTTTTAAGGACCATAAGGGTCGTTGTATGTATAAGGGGTCCTGGGGACCGAAACATTGAAACAAGAATTGAAGTGCTACGATGACATGAGCTATGCTCCTATGGTTATGTTCTGGGTAACGGTACCGTCACCACCTAAGTCGCGAGGTAACGCGACCCTAAGGCTATGTAGTGGATTGTATGATGGACAGGAAATCTTAATGTATTGAAAAGTTATATTTTTGTTTACTTTCATTATCCAAATGTATGTTTTTTTTTCTGCCTTATGAGATTCCTTGGAAAAATCCTGATAACGTTTTATGAAAATTGTACTGCATCATTTTTATTTTTATTTTGTATAAATTGAAGTCCAATTAAGCTCTTATGTTTAGTATCTTTATTTTGAACCCTATTGGTAGGAGCAAGTTTTATAACTCCATGGTATTGGTATACTCATTGGGCTTTAGCTCATTCTTTTAAATAATTTTTTTTCAGATTCATAGACTTTTGTGTGGCTCGCCTCAACTTGGAAGACTAGAATTTTTTGAAGGATCACAGGTGGGCATCTTGTGGTTGAGGTTTTGCTTAGGGTCATTCTAGGATGTAAGCTTACCCTTTTTTTTATGAAGGAGGTTGATTGTAAAAATTGCTTATGAAGTTGGATGTATTGATGGATTCGTGATTAGTATGTATTATATTTTTTTTGGGAGGAAATGCTTGGGAACTATCTTGTAGCATGATAATATTTTTTTGTCTTTGAATAGATCATCTCATATATGTTAGGCAATTGAAAGGTGCTATAGCGTTTGAGGTGCACCCTCTTGGCAGGGTTTTGCCTTGCCAAGATTGGGTCGTTACATTTTTGGTATCAGAGCATTTGGTTATGAATCTGTAGACTAGTTATTTTAGAATTAAAGTTGATAGGGTATTGTAGTTAGTAATTCGATTAGTGATGATGTTTAATAGCGATCTAGTATTCTAAGTTTTAATTGTCTTGTTATACAGGCGCGTATGGCAAGGCGAAGAGTTCATAAGAGTCGCCCCCTTATGGAAGTACTTGAGGCTGAGCGAGAGCCACATCTTAGTGTTGGAAATGAAGTTCCACCTCGGGTTCAGGAAGAAGAGATTGAACATGAATCGCATAATGAGCAAACTCAAGAGTCAAGTGCCAATCCAGAAGTGGGACATTCAGATAGAGTCGTACCACCAAGGGTTGACACAGCTCCAGCATTTTTAGACCCTAGTGTGCAGCGCCTTTTAGAGTCAATGGCTAGCCTAGCGGAGAGGCAGACTCACATCCTTGAACAACAGAATGCAGCACAGTCAAGGCCATTTGTGCAACCTACAGAGAACCGCCTCACCGCAATTGAGAGGTTCAAGAAGTTGGGGGCTCCATCATTTTCTGGATCGCCCAATCCTATGGAGGCAGAGGCCTGGTTAAGGAGGGTAGAGAAGATATTTTCTGTGATAGAAGTATCAGACGAGCATCGTGCATTGTTTTGCATTTTGCCCCTGCCTGCGGGCACATATCTTTGTTGTCTCGTTTGTTTGTCTAAGTCTTCGGCCTTGTCAAAAATGGGTCGTCTCTGGGCTTTGACATTCACTCCCGTCACTTGTGACTTCCGAGTTCTGTCAAAGAGGGGCAACTGTAGACACCCCATTTTTGACCGACCTTAAGACTCAGACATCACCGATTGAGCGCCCGGTGACGTTGCATATCGTGCTCGTTCAGAAGTCTCAGAGTCGCGGCCGTGAGCCCTGCCTCCGGATTTCCGAACCCTCTTCTGTGCCTTGTCTTGGTTTGCGAACCAGACTCGGTTTTCTCTGTTTCTTTTCCTGAGGGGAGGGAGAGGTCCCATAGATCTTCTCTCAGTGGCCGTGGGCTACATTTTGTGGCTATAGGCCATTTTGCCCATTTCGGAGCCCGTTTTTCGATTTTTCGGGACCGTTGGCCGTGTGCCTCGGTTCGGGACCGCCTAACCATCTCCGTTTGGCCTGATTTTTGGCATACATCTTGTTTACTCCCTTTTGAGGGACACTGAGGTCTGAGAGACCCACTTCGTGGTCGAATGCCACTTTCGGTGCTTAATAGGCAGTTTTCGGGACCCCGAACTGCGCGTTTTGGCCCCCGAATATTCGTTTTGCATCGGTTTTCGTTCATTTTTGGCAGGTACCTCTGTTTCATCACTAGGAAGGCCGTAGAAGGGTGGGAGGCCAGCAATTATTTCAGCAACCAGTTATATATCCTCCGGCGCCCTCCGACGCCCGTTTTTCTCACTTCCAAGCCAATGTTGAACAACCTTGGGCCATTTTCTTGAACTTTTAACCACATATTTGTGTTGTACACACTTGGGAGGACACCAAAAGTTGGTGGCCGGCCAGTAATTCCACCTGACCCTTTTGAACCCTTCTTAAAAATGGCTTGTTTTCTCTCATGTTTCACTGTTTCCAATTTTGAACCACAGGGTTGTGTTGAGGGCACCTGGGAGGACACCTATTTGTGGTGGCCGGCCAGAAATTCCACTTGACCCTTTTGACCCCTAGCCGGCCGGCCATGGGAGGTGGCCGTTCGGCCACCTGCAGCTGCAAAAACTGGCCGGCCTCTTTCCTTGCAGTGTGTACTTTACAGCTGTATAGCTGTTTTCTCCCAAAAATATCTGTATCCGGGGGACAGCTTTTGGAGGAAAACATGGTCCTTTTTCCCCCACCTTTTCCCCTCCATTTCTCCCTCTCCTTGGTCCATATAACCAGCATCCAGCATTGGTCTTAGGGGTTGGAAGAAATTGCCTTCAAGCTTTGATATACAAATCTCCCTCCATCTCTCTCTTTCAAGCAAAACAACCAAGTTCTACCACCTTTTCTTCATCACCACCTAGCATCACCACCACTACTCCATTTCCAGCAGCTTGGGGATCTTTCCAGCAGCTAGGAGGCATCACTTCTCAAGCCAAGAAGCAACCAAAGACTTGTCTTCAAGGATAAGTATCATTTCCCCCTTTTTTTGGCTTATTCTTGTATCATTTATAAGCCATACATGCTTGCTGTTTTGAGCTCCGGCCCTAACTAAAAGTGGCCTTATTTTGAGCTCTTTTTAACTTTTTCTCAAGGGCCTCTCACTGTTTGAGGTCCCCATCCTGCACTTTCTTCATTATCCCTCTTGTATGCCATAATCTTGCATAGTATTTTTGGCCTATATGTGATCTGTTTTGGAGCATGATGTAAACTGTAAATAGGCTTATTTTGAGCCCCTCTTCAACATTGAAGAAGGGTTCATCACTGTTTGGGACCTCCATGTGCCACTTGTCATTATACCCCTCTTTGGTCCCCTTTTTTGCATGATTTATTAGCCTATTGTGCTTCTATTTTTGGGCATTTTTCAGAACTGAAAATAGTCTTATTTTGGCCTTATCTTCATGTTTCATTGAGGGTATTTCACTGTTTGAGACATCCTCTACATACTTTGTGTTATATCTCTCTTTTTTTGGCCATATTTTGCATGATATTTTTGGCTTGTATGCATACTGTTTTGGGTCCGGCCATCAACTGTAAAATGCATTATTTTTGGCCCCTATTCAATGTTGTTGAAGGGTCCCTTTGTGTTTAAGGCCAGCAACCTTCACTTGCTTCTTTGTCCACTTTTTGGCCATTTTCTTGCATGAGTGTTTAGCCATACCTGTGCTGGTTTTTGTGATTTGCCATAAACTGTAAAAGATCATGTTTTGGGCCCCTCTTCAACTTTGTTGAAGGGCCCTAATCTTTTTGGAGACAGAAGCTGTGAGTTGCTTCTTTATCTCGCATTTGGGGCCATTTTTGCATGCTAGTTCTTCCCTATTTTTGTTTGCTGTTTGGCCATGCTTTGAACTGTAAAAATGCTTATTTTGGGGCTGCCTTGCTTCTGTTCTTTCATTCCATGTACCAATCATGCATGCTTTGTATAGCTGTAAGCCATTTCATGTACCTAGTCTTGCATTTTGGGAGAAATTCCATGCATTGGGTGTCATTTCGCCTTGTTTCGGGGCTGTTTTCCCCCTCATTTTGCTACTGATTTTTGCATATTTGCATATCATATTTCATGTCTTTGCCATGTCTCATTAGAGTGGCATTTCGGTGCCTGAGGGTCGGTCCTCGGTTTGCGTGCATGCGTGCACGCATTTCGAGTTGTCTTGTTTTCATCTGATGGCCTCCTATGTGAGTGTGGTTGAGGCTCTCTCATGTTGGTGTAAGCCCATTATTGCATTGCGTATGCCATTTCATCCATAGCATTGTGTATGCTCGGTTGTGTATTACCTCGTGTAGCGTGTATGCCATTCCATAACATTGTGTATGTTAGGATTGTATCTTAGTTGCATTTCATGCATGTCATGCATATTGCATCGTGTTCGGGATAGGAGTTAGCCCGGGCACGGGAAACGAGGTGCATTTCGTACTCCGAGTGACGGAACGTGCCTCAATTCGCCAGTCACCGACACTCCGGATCATCCATGATGGAGTTAGGTTTTGTTGTGTTTTCATGTGCATTCATTTCATATTAAATTGTGCAATTCGACTCCTCGGCCATCATGCCTCGATATGCGTGATTGGTGGCACGAGGATCGAGACATGCATATATTTGTAAAAATGCATTGCTATGCCCCTTTCCTGCTCTCTGTTGCAGCAAATCAAGAATCAGCGGTCTTCCGAGGTTTGGCACGCATTTCAAGAATAGACGCAAACAGAGGCTAATTGGGGCATCCCAGTGGATTTCCGCGCAAGGCAGCCTAAACATACATCATTCATCAGAAGCAAGGCAGTCCCTGGCTTGCACGCCAGTTTTACAGCTTTCTTAGTTAATTGGTTAATTAATTAGGAATTTGTACATTATTGGGACTGTATTATTTGGACTGTACTATTCTTTCATTTGGGACTGTAATATTCTTTTATTCGGGACTGTATATTTATTCGAACCTTCTGCGCGAGGGCACAACTGTAATAAGTGTGCCTGCGTGTGTTGTATGTCTTCTAACCCCACGTCTTTCTTCTCTTTTATTTATCCGCTTATGATGGTTAGATTAGGGCATATTTCAATTAGGATACAGTATGATAGCATGTTTGTATTCATTCATCTGTTTTGCATGCACCGGGCTCGGCGCACCATACTAACTGCATTGCATTTTCAATTCCAAATTGAATACATGTTAGCTGTAGCATTTCACATGCCATGTTTAGAATAGCTGAGCCTGCTATTGTTACATTTTTGCATGTGTTGCATTTGGCATTTCTGTATAATTAGGATCATGCATGGATTTCTAATAAACTTCCTTTTTAGCTTGGAGTACTCGGTGAGTTTTATGCTTTAGCATCCTTGCATGCGTGTGAGTGAATGCCATGAATAGTATGCTTACCATGAGGCTATGTGCTTGTATGATATAATTGCCTGAATGCCTGTGGGTGAAGGTTGGGTTACTTGGATTGGAATAAATCATTGACTGTGAGTTTTAAGCCCACTAGATAGTGGCAAAACCATCTTTTCTAAGCCCACCCGAGGGTGGCAAAATCTGCATTTTAAACCTACTTGCGGGTAGCAAACCATCTTTCAAAAAAAACAAACATGAAATGTTTTGTTTCAATTCAGGCAACTCAGTCTATACTTGTATGTTGTGCGCATCACATAGCAACCTAGGCTAATAACTGGAATAAGAACATGCAATGTTTTCAAAAATAGATATCATGGTTAGTAGAGGCCGGTCTCTGACCAGGCGAGCAGGGGTGCTCACGAAGTGACCTTCCCCAATCGTACCCAAGTTCCCGAGCCGAGGCAACTTTGGTGATGACGGACACGTGGCCTTAGACAACGAGTCAGGGTTTCCTAAATTTCCCAAAATAAAATATTTAGGTGGCGACTCTGTATCTGGCAAAAGCAGTCCATGTTCGGCAAGCGATTTGCCGGATTTGGACTCTTTGGTTCAGATTTAGAACCGTGACAATTTGAGAGTCCTGAGCTGTAGTGACCCCAAAATGAACAGAACGAGAGCTCGTTCCTCCCGGGAGCGTTCGAGGACGTCTACAAAGCCGTGGCCTCCAAAGACCAAGAAATAAAAGAGTCAATGAAAAGGCATATGAGGAGGGAAAAACAGATGTTTATGATCAGTATAAGAAGCATGTGAACTTAGCATGTAATAAATGCTACTGCCTTGTTTGGATCGCCGTGCTGAAGAAGCTATCAGTCCTCAAGGACTCTCCTCTTCGAGATCTCGGCCATCTCCTCGGCCAATTTGATGTGCCTTTCCATCATTCCTCTTCCCCATCTGACGAACCTGTAGATACTGAGGAGGGAGAAGAAGAAGAGGTCGCCAAGGAGGCCACTTCTGGTGCTAAGTCTCCTACCTTGAAGATCAAGTCCTAGACTTGACTGGGGATGACGATGAAGAGGTTTCCAAGAACACCTCCTCAATCAAAGGGGCTGACAA